CTCTGGTCGCTCACTGGTCTCTCACTGGTCTCTCTCTCTCTGTGGTCTCTCTCTGGTCGCTCACTGGTCTCTCACTGGTCTCTCTCTCTATTTTCTCCCTCTGCTCTCCCTCTGGTCGCTCCTTGCTCTCTCACCCTGGTCTCTCCCCCTGGTCTCCCCCCGGTCTCCCTCCGGTCCCTCCAGCTGCCACATATTACAAAAGTCTTTGTGTTGTGTCAGATGGTCCATGTTCTCTGGCCTCTCCTTCTGGTCTCTCTCTGGTCTCCTTCTGGTCTCTCTGGTCTCCCTCAGATCTTTCTCTGGTCTCCTTCTGGTCTCTCTCTGGTCTCCTTCTGGTCTCTCTCTGGTCTCCCTCTGGTCTCTCTGGTCTCCCTCAGATCTTTCTCTGGTCTCCTTCTGGTCTCTCTATGGTCTCTCTCTGGTCTCTCTCTGGTCTCCCTCTGGTCTCTCTGGTCTCCCTCAGATCTTTCTCTGGTCTCCTTCTGGTCTCTATCTGGTCTCCCTCTGGTCCCTCCAGCTGCCACATATGCCAATAATGTGTGTGTTGTGTCAGATGGTCCGTGTTCTCCGGTCTCCCTCTGGTCTCCCTCTGGTCTCGCTCTGGTCTCACGCATATATCACACATTCCGCTCCAGAGCTTTTTATAGTCACGGACTTGACCCTCTGCATCAGTTGAAACAAGATTTAGGAGATAAGGCAAATATTTCACCTGGTGCTGAACCGGCGTGGCGAGTGCGACCCGGGACCAGGCCCGCGGCGGCGGCTTAATCAGTCCAACCTGGTCCAGAACCAGCTGCTCCTCAACGTTTACTTTTGATCCAATCACACGCTCAGTTTGTGGAAGTTAATCACATTTACAGCCGGCAGACCAAACAAGACTCTCATGGTTCCCACAAGGCCATGGTTCATGGTGTTTGTCTGGTCTCTCTCTAGTCTCTCTCTGGTCTCTCTCTCTGGTCTCTCTCTGGTCTCTCTCTGGTCTCTCTCTTGTCTCTCTGGTCTCTCTCTCTGGTCTCTCTCTGGTCTCTCTCTGGTCTCTCTCTGGTCTCTCTCTGGTCTTTCTCTGGTCTCTCTCTGGTCTCTGGTCTCTCTCTGGTCTCTCTCTGGTCTCTCTCTCTGGACTCTCTCTCTGGTCTCTGGTCTCTCTCTGGTCTCTCTGGTCTCTCTCTGGTCTCTGGTCTCTGGTCTCTCTGGTCTCTCTCTGGTCTCTCTCTGATCTCTCTCTGGTCTCTCTCTGGTCTCTCTCTGGTCTCTCTCTCTGGTCTCTCTCTGGTCTCTCTCTGGTCTCTCTCTCTGGTCTCTCTCTGGTCTCTCTCTGGTCTCTCTGGTCTCTCTCTGGTCTCTCTGGTCTCTCTCTGGTCTCTCTCTCTGGTCTCTGGTCTCTCTCTCTGGTCTCTCTCTGGTCTCTCTCTGGTCTCTCTCTCTGGTCTCTGGTCTCTCTCTGGTCTCTCTCTGGTCTCTCTCTCTGGTCTCTCTCTCTGGTCTCTGGTCTCTGGTCTCTCTCTGGTCTCTCTCTGGTCTCTGGTCTCTCTCTGGTCTCTCTGGTCTCTCTCTGGTCTCTCTCTCTGGTCTCTGGTCTCTGGTCTCTCTCTGGTCTCTCTCTGGTCTCTCTCTGGTCTCTCTCTGGTCTCTCTCTCTGGTCTCCCTCCGGTGTCTCTCTGGTCTCTCTCTCTCTCTGGTCTCTCTTTCTCTGGTTGCTCTAATCTCTCTCTCTGGTCTCTGGTCTCTGGTCTCTCTCCAGTGGTCTCTCTGGTCTCTCTCTGGTCTCTCTCTCTGGTCTCTCTCTGGTCTCTCTCTGGTCTCTCTCTCTGGTCTCTCTCTGGTCTCTCTCTGGTCTCTCTCTGGTCTCTGGTCTCTCTCTGGTCTCTCTCTGGTCTCTCTCTGGTCTCTCTCTGGTCTCTCTCTCTGGTCTCTCTCTGGTCTCTCTCTCTGGTCTCTCTCTCTGGTCTCTCTCTGGTCTCTGGTCTCTCTGGTCTCTCTGGTCTCTCTCTGCTGGTCTCTCTGGTCTCTCTGGTCTCTCTGGTCTCTCTCGGTCCTGGTCTCTCTCTGGTCTCTCTCTGGTCTCTCTCTGGTCTCTCTCTGGTCTCTCTCTCTGGTCTCTGGTCTCTCTCTGGTCTCTCTCTCTGGTCTCTCTCTGGTCTCTCTCTGGTCTCTCTCTGGTCTCTCTCTCTCTGGTCTCTCTCTCTCTGGTCTCTCTCTGGTCTCTCTCTGGTCTCTCTCTGGTCTCTCTCTGGTCTCTCTGGTCTCTCTCTGGTCTCTGGTCTCTCTGGTCTCTGGTCTCTCTCTGGTCTCTCTCTGGTCTCTCTCTGGTCTCTCCTCTCTGGTCTGGTCTCTCTCTCTCTGGTCTCTCTCGGTCTCTCTCTGGTCTCTGGTCTCTGGTCTCTCTCTGGTCTCTGGTCTCTCTGGTCTCTGGTCTCTCTCCGGTCTCTCTCTGGTCTCTCTCTGGTCTCTCTCTGGTCTCTCTCTCTGGTCTCTCTCTGGTCTCTCTCTGGTCACTCAGAGATCTTTCTCTTGGACCATCCGACATCAGCAAGGGTCAAAAACCCAGTCCCTGTGCTCCTCAGAGTCCCAGCAGGAGTCAGTCCCTGTGCTCCTCAGAGTCCCAGCAGGAGTCCAGTCCCTGTGCTCCTCAGAGTCCCAGCAGGAGTCCAGTCCCTGTGCTCCTCAGAGTCCCAGCAGGAGTCCAGTCCCTGTGCTCCTCAGAGTCCCATCCATGTGCTCCTCAGAGTCCCCCAGCAGAGTCCAGTCAGTCCCAGCAGGAGTCCAGTCCTGTGCTCCACAGCTCCTCAGAGTCCCAGCAGGAGGCCAGTCCCCTGTAGCTCCACAGATCCCAGCAGTAGTCAGTCCCTGTGCCTTCAGAGTCGCTCACAGATCATCCATCACTTAAATATGAAGTGTTTTTCAGTAAGAAAGACATGTCTCTGCTTCTTTATCAACTCCCCTGAACCTCCCCCCTCTCCCCCTCTCCCCCTCTCCCCCTCTCCCCCTCTCCCCCTCCCCCCCCCCCTAACCCACCCAGATCTGAGACTGCATTAGGAACTCCAAACGCACATAGTCCTGATTGTATTCTCCTCCCGTCTCCTGGTCCAGGGCTGGTCTTGTAGCCTAAGCCTCGGCCAGGCCCATAACTCACCCCTTACTCACCCATATCTCACCCCTTACTCACCCCTAACTCACCCGTGCCTCTGAAGGAAGCTTTCCTCCTCAATCCCCGCCATGAGATCTGCCTCTGAGGCCGCGGCCGAGGAGGAGGAGGGAGGAGGAGGAGGAGAGGGGGGGAGGAGGAGGAGGAGAGGGGGGGGAGGAGAGGAGGAGGAGGAGGGAGGAGGAGGAGGAGGAGGAGGAGAGAGGGGGGGAGGAGGAGGAGGAGAGGGGGGGAGGAGGAGGAGGAGGAGGAGGAGGAGGGAGGAGGAGGAGGAGGAGGAGGAGGAGGAGAGAGGGGGGAGGAGGGGAGGAGGAGGAGGAGGAGGAGGAGGGGGGAGGAGGAGGAGGGGAGGAGAGGGGGGGGGGGAGAGGAGGAGGAGGAGGGGGGAGGAGGAGGAGGAGGAGGAGGAGGAGGGAGGAGGAGGGGGAGAGGGGGAGTGTAGTTGTGAGAGGCAGGAGGAGGAGGTTGTAGGGGAGAGGAGGTGTTGTGGGGAGGAGGAGGATGTGCGAGGAGGAGGAGGATCTGCACCTTTAAGAACTGTTCCCATCCACTTTACTGAAGGGGGGGAGGAGAGGGAGACCAGAGAGAGACCAGAGAGAGACCAGAGAGAGACCAGAGAGAGACCAGAGCGAGACCAGAGACGAGACCAGAGAGAGAGACCCAGAGAGAGACCCAAGAGAGAGACCATGAGAGAGAGACCAGAGAGAGACCAGAGAGAGACCAGAGAGAGACCAGAGAGAGACCAGAGAGAGAGACAGAGAGAGACCAGAGAGAGAGACCAGAGAGAGACCATAGAGAGAGACCAGAGGAGAGACCAGAGAGAGACCAGAGAGAGACCAGAGAGAGACCAGAGAGAGACCAGAGAGAGACCAGAGAGAGACCAGAGAGAGACCAGAGAGAGAGTCAGAGAGAGACCTAGAGAGAGACCAGAGAGAGACCAGAGAGAGACCAGAGAGAGACCAGAGAGACACCCAGAGAGAGACCAGAGAGAGAGATCAGAGAGAGACCATAGAGAGACCAGAGAGAGAGATCAGAGAGACCAGAGAGAGACCAGAGAGAGACCAGAGAGACACCTGAGAGAGAGAGACCAGAGAGAGACCGGAGAGAGACCAGCAAGAGACCAGAGAGAGACCAGAGAGAGACCAGAGAGAGACCAGAGAGAGACCTGAGAGAGATCGGAGTGAGACCAGAGAGAGAACTGAGAGAGACCAGCGAGAGACCAGAGAGAGACTAGAGAGAGATCAGAGAGAGACCTGAGAGAGAGAGACCAGAGAGAGACCGGAGAGAGACCGGAGAGAGACTGGAGAGACCAGGGAGAGACCAGAGAGATACCAGAGAGAGACCTTTCTGCATCAAGGCTAACACAGCGGGCGATGTCACACTCCGTGGTTCTTTCAGAAATCCTGTAGAAATACTCTAAACGTGAGTTTTTTTTGGAAACCATGATAATCTCACTTCCTTCAGTTTGTGAAAAACACAGAGACGTTTAGAGAAAGAGAAAATATCCAGGATCAAAGGATCAAAGGCCTTAGCAGCAACTTTCAAACGCACCCTGTATACAGATGGACAGTGCTAAACTGCTAGCTCAATGCTAACACACACTGTATACAGATGGACAGTGCTAAACTGCTAGCTCAATGCTAACACACACTGTAGCATTGACCAGTGTGGGCGGGTCCCGGCTCAATAGTGGCCAAAAATGACGTTCGCTGACATGCTGCAGTACCACCCGGATGCTGCTGGGGGTGGACCCAGAAGATGAATTATGCCAATGTGCTAACTCACACTGTTACAGCTGGGATCAGTGCTAACCTGCTAGCTCAATGCTAACACACATGTATACTGATGGGACAGTTGCTCAACGTGCTTAGCTCAATGCAAACAACCACTGTATACCTGAGATGGACAATAAATGGTTCTCTGTCAGTGTTCTCTGTCAGTTTTCTCTGTCGGTCTTCAGTCCAGTTCTCTGTCAGATGGATCTCTGTCAGGTTCTTTGTTGTTGTGGTGCCGGGAGAGGAGGGGGTTCTTCAGGCAGTTCTCTTCTGCTCGCCAAGGTTCTATGTCAGTTCCATCTTCATCTCTCTTCTTCATCACCCTCTCTTCACTCTTTCATTCTCCTCTCTTCTTTTCCTCCCTACCTTCTCTTCATATCTTTCTTCTTTGCTGTCCAAGTAGTTCCCCCCCCCACGCAGCAGCTCCCAGTGCGACACCAATCTCACGAGCAGCCAAGGACGCCAGCGCCCATGCCGCCCGGCCCACGCACACCCCCCACTCAAACTGCCCAACCCCCCACATAAGCACCCTCTGACGCACCAACCTGGCGCACCGCAGTATGCCACACCAGCGAAGCTCCGGCACAAACACACCGAAGCAAAGCTACCAACGCGACCACCAGACAAGCACTACTCGCCCGGCCACCCACCCCATCACACAGACGACAGGTCGCCGCCCCACGCACCCGTCAGACCAAAACCCCCAGCCAATATCATGATAGCCAGGGCGGGGGGGGGGGGGGGGGGGCGCATCCGACAAAGCGCGCCACCAAACCTAATCAACGCTCGCTCCTGAAAACAAAGCCCGACGCAGCCCCCCGTCCCCGCGACCCACGCCTCCGAGCTCCCCCCGACATCACCCACCCCCTCACCCCGACCACCAACCCACACTCTGCACCAAGCGCTCCCCCAAGGACGGCAGCGCCCGCCCCGACTACACTACCGAAAACAGCGAACCACCAGCACCTTCAGTCGACCCCCCCTGACAACCCACACCCGGAGCCCACCGCCGACCCTCACCAAGCATCTCCCCCCCCCAGAGCGGAGCAGCTAAAATCCCAGGCCAAAACACCCCCCACGCCCCCCCACCACCCCCCACAACCGGCCCTCCCACGACACCCCCCCGCAACCCACACACCCCCCGTCCAACCCCCCTACACCGCGCCCTAACGTAACCAACCCTAACCCCGATACCACACCTGGCCGCCCCCACCAGCGCAGTACCCCTACCGCCGCCCCCCGACGAGCGCCTGGCCCGATCCAGGCACTTCTCGCCACCCAACCTCGCCACAATAGGCAGTGCCGCTAATCGCCGAACCCACTTACACTGGGACAGCCCGAGAAAACAAATACGCCAGACTACCGACCTCTACCGGGAATCCCACCCCAAAGCAAAAACAATACTCATACAGCCCGCCCAGACCCCCCGACTCCGTCCTAGCAACCCAAATCTCTTCAGCCACATCATCCACACCGAGCCCCTGCCACAAGCACAATTATACAACCCCAGCAACCCGAAAACCAACCCAACCACTCTTCAACCCTCCCTACTCGACCCAGCCCATAGAAAAACACACGTGGGACCGCCCGAAGGCCAAGCATACCACCGACCCCTCAGATACGCCCCATCCAGAACCCGCACGCCAGGAGAAAAAGAGCGGTGCCACGCTAAGCGTGCGAACACACCGGCAACCCAAACGACTACACCACCCACACGCCAGGCCCCGTCCAGCACAACAACCGGACACTGCGGCACCCGCCAAACTGACTGGGCGGAACAATCCCCGACCCCGGCCAAGCATGGCCCCCCCACCCCGACGAAGAACCATAACAGCCCCACGAACACACGGGCGACACGCAAGACGAAGGCGAACAACCTGATCCCAGTCACCACACACCACCGTACCCCCACCTCCCCTACACATCCCAAGGGGCCCCCCAGACGTACCCCCCCCCGACGCCCCACCCGACGACAGCCTTTACCAGATCCCCGGGAACCCCAGACCAACCCACAGCGCCCGGATCTCACAATCCCAGTGCAGACCCCGCCCTCACAACCCTCCCGGCCGGCGCCACTATCCCGTCTCACGTCAACATAGATACCCTCCACCCATCGATCCTCGGACCAGGTCCCCCTCCGGCCGCGAGACCACGCCACCGCCCCCCCCCACTCCTGCCCGACAGCCTCCCACAGGAAACCCCCCACACGCGGAATCGCACACCGTACAGCCAGGAACGTCACACGACCGACCCCCAGGCCGCTCCAACGCTACCCCCAGTCACCTGGGCCCGCCAGTGACACAAGCGCTCCCTACACCCACCAAAACGCCCCCCACAGCCGCCCCATTCCGCCACCCATGCCCCCTACTCCCCCCCCCCACGTACCCCCGCATCAGTCCACGACCCCCCATGTCCCACTCCACCCACAACCTGACCCCCCGCACCCCCAACTCATCCCCACCCCTCCCCCCCCCCCCCGGCGAAACGCCTAACGGCGACGTGCAACACACCCCCCTCGCCCCCCCTCACTCCCCCCCACCGAGCCAACCCCCCCACCTCTCAAGCACAAATGACACCCTC